ATATAAAATCATGCATCCTAGACAAAGGCTGAATCCTTACCACCCCTCCCCCACCCCATTGAATTATGAATCATGATGAGCATCCAGGTCTGTACTGCTTTTCACTTTGAGAAGGGGGGAGGCTGGTTGCTGTGTGAAATTGCAGTACAGGCCCTCCCCCTCCCATTCAGCCTTGGGGTAGCTGTCACCATTACATCAAGTGACTATAAGCTATTCCTCCCAGCTAGATGTACTTAAGATCAAGTAGCATGTGTCTCACTGCCTATTGATGTGGACTGGCATTGTCACAAGATGGGACCTTTTAACTTGGCCTACCATAGTTTGGGTTGAAGACAAAAGCTAATCCCCTTAATGGAGTGATTTTGTTCAGTTGCAAACAAAGGATAAAACTAAGATCTGTTGTAGATACTGTCATACTTGTGAGCTCTGGAATGATAGAAGTTTTTTTCTTAACCCTGTGACTTCTTGAGTTGCAGACACTTTTGAATTCTCACTTTGCCCTCTAAAAAAGTTATCATAATCTTGTCAGTTTTTTAATTGAGATAAGGGAAGAAACACAACCTTAATTGGGCTTGGCTATAATTATTGGGGTTTTTTGTGGGGTTCAGGGGAAGGGAAAGGTCAGAAATTTCATACTTTGGAGCTTGAGGCAGTCCAGCTTCTTATAATGGAAAATTGCTTCCCACACTTCCCCTGAAACCAAAATGTTCCTTAAGCCTTGCCAATTCCTTATGTTGGATGCTGTAAAGAGGTTTTGCACTCTTCACACAAGATACCAAAGGCATCTCAGCTGCTGTTCCTAGCACACTAAAGTACTTTCATCTTTCAGTTGGTCCTTAGCATCACCAAAGGACCAGGCTTCTTGTTAGTAAAGACTGGTGTGCCCTCTACCAAGCTACAAGATTCTGATTAGTGTGGCACTTTCAGCCTTTTATGAAATGAACGACCCTCTTTTCTGCATCCATGCAGTTTTCATGTTAAACTAGGTTGGAAGTACTGATGATGAAGAGTTTGCTGTCAGGAAGACATTGTAACAGTCTAATCTTGCCAGGCCCACCTTTTTATTAATCACCCTAAGAGAAGGTTACTTTTAATTTTTTTTAATTGGCAAGGGCATAGACAATTTGTGTTGCCTGGATGTGTAGGCCTAAATTATTTTTCTTGCCTCTTCTGCCTCTCCTTTCCACGAATCTTTATGCCTGTTAAGAGAGTCAACAGGACTCTTGCCATGCCTGAGATATGGTAATTTAACCTTAGAACAGATGTTGATGGCCCACTAAATCAAGTTGATTTTGTGGGCAAAGTGTTCCTTGTACAGGTGATATATTCATCCAGGGTCTTTGTTATGACTCTCAGATTAAGGCTGGTCCCATAGCTTTGCCTGAAAAGAACAGAACAGTCTGGCAGGTGTTATGCCCCTGGAAGTATCATGTAAGTTTCCATGGCTCCATCACCACACTTTAAGGGACCCAGACCTTCTCTCCAGGTTGACATTGGCTATATAATGAAGAAAGGCATCTGCCATGGAGCAGAAGAATGAAAGGAAAGTCCATCTCAACACACCATTCTGAGAGTTCACAGATGCTAACCATTTCGCCTCTTAACAAAGCTGCTCTGGAAGGGTGAGGCTGAAATTGACTTGGCTATTTCACAGGACACAAACATCAAATGCCTTTACAACAGGAGGAAACCCACCTCTGGACTCTTCATTCAGGGCAGCTTGAGCTCCTATCTGAATGTGGACTGTGCCAATCACACAGACAGTAGCTACCACCAGCCTCTATCTTGCTGGAGAAGGCCATCAGCCAATCTGAGGAGAGGAGAAGGAGGTTTTCAGCCTTTAGCTATGGGCTGAGAGCCACCCTCAGGGTAAAAAAGGCAGGAAGATGCACTGCCTCTGAGGGAGCTATCATAACCTTTGTGTAATTTGCTGGGCTTTGGAAGGTTACACACCACAGCATAATACTTGGAGCTGAATAGGAATTCATGGTTTGGACATCATCACTGCTTCCAAGTCCCTTTACTGCTCTAGCTAGCCCAGGAACAGGATCCTTATCACCAAAAGTGGGGCCAGCTAGGATTCATGGATACAGAAATGTGCCCCTTTGAGTCTCTAGAGCTTAGAAATTTATGACCAAATGCCAGCTGCATACTTGAGGAAGAACTGGCTGGGGACATATGGTGATGGTAGCCCAGTATGACAGTGGGAAAAAAATCTAGGCCTGTCCACAAGCTAGCCAGTGCTTGTTTGACATGCACCAAATACTACTGTGACCCAGGCTACTAAAAGTGTTGATATGTCCATACCTCCTAGGCTGAGGCCAGATGAACACCATGTCTCAATTGCAAAGTCCCAGGATAATGCTTTTAGATGTAACTTCAAGAAGAGGTTGCTGCTCTCATCTTGCCACCCAGTAGGCCTATTTAGTGTTTCATAGCTCTAACCCAGAGAATTTCCGCATGAGACCAGTCGTTGAGGGAACAGTGAATGTTGATAGAGAAGTCCACCTAGCAGGCCTCTAACAGGGCCAGGGTAGCAGCTGCTTGGTGCTTTAGAGTCTCCGAAGAAGCCCTTCCTACTCAGATGTCTTTAGCTTGGTTACCAGGGCACAAGCTTCCCAGGATAAAGGCTTTAGTAAACACCAGTCTCTCCCTCCCTCAAGGAGGAAAGTAGCTTCCTACACTCTGAAGGCTGGAAGTGTACCTTCATCCTACTGCCGGTGGCTTTCCCATATGTGCTGCCATCCCACCTGACCTCGGCCCCCAGGCCCAGTTGCTAGAGGGAGGCATGAGGGCTTTAGCAGGGAGACTTCAATTTTACCCATGTGTATGTTGCATCATATATATATATATATATATAATTATTTTTGTATTGTTTGCATTTTATATTCATGGAAAACAATGTTTAACAATTGTTCTTTTCTGATA